CCCCCAGAATCAGGAGGCACCAGTTGCCCATGGTCGAAAGAGTGGGAAAGGTGCAGTTCATGGGAAACAAGAGTTTTAGTTGAAACCTCTCCTTTTTTACACATGTAGAGAACAGGACAGAGCAATTTAGCTAGAAGGGCACAAGGGGAATGTGTAGTATTTACATGAGATACTCAGAGGGTGCTTCTACATGAGATGCTTACTGCAGAGTAGCGTAATAACACTGCACAATTGCACAGTAGCGTGCTGTTAAAAACCATGCTAATACACTACTACAGTGTTATTAGACCACTTCGAAGTAAGGGTAAAAAAAACCCCCCAAAAATGTGCTGAGGCGCTACTGCGCAGTAGCACAAGTTACTGCACATTGAAATAGTACTTGGTTAACCAAGCACTAAACCTAATGCGCAGTAACTAGGGGGCATTAATGAATGTGTAGACACACCCAGTGACTGTTTCTGTTTACATTAGGGGCAATATGCAGTATCCATACATTCATCCTCTTGATAGCTAATCAGAACTCAGTTGAGAGAGACTATAAACATGGAAGCTGTGAACAGTTTTGTACACTTTAAAGCTGAAGATTCCTTGTCTTTCTGGAAGCCACAGAAAGAGTTAATTAGCGTGGGGATTATTTATTTTTGGGGAAACTTGAACTGTTTTTTGTTGAGTTTTTAGTATGTTGAATAGTAAATTGAGAGGCTTTTTGGTTTTGGCTATGTTGGTCTAAGGAAATAGGCAGGCAAGGTTCTTTGAGCAGATGTGACATCTTTCATTAGACCAACTGAGTAGTTGGAACAAAGTTCTTTGCAAGCTTTTGGGCACAAAAATCTTTCTCCCTATCCTTCTTCAGGCATAGGGAGACTCTGCTGTTGTTCTGAGATCTCCAAGGAATGGAGAGGAAATTGAGAGGCTGCCACTTCCCTCAGGCTCTGGAGAGCCCACATAGCACCTAGACAAATGTCAATGCCATGCTATAGTAACTGAGAACTCAATGGCTATGAGAAGATCAGAATAGAATGTGTCAGTGTAATGGTGCACCACATTTTAGAAATGTCTGGGCATGTTGACACTTGTGTATTTACTGTGCAATAACCAAAATTACTGCACAGTATAGGTGTGTGGTTACATGTGCGTACCCATACTGCACAGTAAATATGGTGACTTAAGCCAATCTGTGAGTAAATTTGATACCTGCACCATGCAGATATCAAATTTACGTCTGCACAGTTACTGCGCAATAACGCATGTGTAGATGCCTTACTGCGCAGTAACACAGCATTAATGCACTTTAACACCTGCACATGTAGACACCAGCCTATTTCTGCTTATTGCACAGTAAATTTAAGTTGGCGTAAGTGCACGTGTAGATATGCCCTCTGTGTCACATTCAGAATTATAACTGCAATTCAGATGGACTTATGTAAGTTAGATTTATACTGGTTAGCTCAGATATTTCTAGCTGTGTAGCCAAGTCAGCAAACAGCTCAATACAAGCAGCAAAATCTTCCTGAGAAACTAAGTAAATACTTGGGGAATGAGCCTGTGCTAAGCTCTGTGATGCATTTGTTACTCTCTTATCTGTACATGAGCTAGTTAATTTAAACACAAGCCAAAGCTACCCTTTAAACTTCTGTGTATCCATCCCCTGAGAGTATGAAGTGATTCTCAGGCAGCGTGCTGGGACATATAAATTAAGCGGATAAGCACAGGCTCAGGCTTGCCTCTGCCTGAATGATTCCCCATCTGCACTTCCCAGCCTTTCTGCAAGGAAGTAAGCATACCAATATATAAATTAGTTTTTGAAATTTGCTGCCACTCAATTCACAAAAGTTATAAAGGACTGCCTCAAGTCCAATGAGAGGTGCCTCAAGTCCAAAAAGGCTGAGAACTGAAGTCTATGCACTGCAGTGTATGTAATAATAACCAAGTGGGAAAATCTGAATAAGGAATTCCAGTAGATTTACTGATAATAATTTTGCTTAAAAAGTTATTTAGGAGTATTCCAAATACCATTTGCAAATGTTTTTTAGCTGTCTTTTTGCTGTTGTCATTAATGCTTGAATTCCACATTTATCATGTCACAGCTTTGAAGTTCTATTTGAGGTAATGCTTTCCTATTAAAATCCCCAAAAAATAGAATTTGGGTTTGTGTTTCAACACACAGGCAAGTTGAGCAGGGAAGAAGTTGGTGAAATAGATCTATGCATAAAATGTCCTCAGTGCCCCCTTTCCCCATGACACAAAGGCTGCTTGTACATGCCACAGGGGTTTAATTTGGTTTAGTTCTCCCTAAATTTAAACAGTGGGCTTTTAAAAACACCACTTCAATTTAGGGAGAATTAAACCAAACTAATAAGGGTCCCAATCCTTATTTGCCTCTTCGGCAGCGGTTGGGCAGGGAGGGCAAGCTGCTGGCTGGCTGAATGGTCCCTGAACTGCACGGGGGGGCCCTCAGGTAGCACCTACCTGCTGGCACCCAGCCCAGGCAGTCCTGGGGGGCACCACAGCCATGGAGGAAAGCACCAGCGCCCCTGCAACTGCAGAGGGAAGTACCGGAGCCCTGCACAGCTGAGGCAGGCAGGCAGGCAGGCTCTGGGCAGAAAAAAAAAATCAAGCTTGGTTCTATTTTTTTTTCTTCAGTGCAGCATACCTGCATGGGCTGTCACTGGGTCCCACAGCTCCTGAGCTCTGTGAAGCCCACCAAGCCGTGAGCACGTCAGCTCCCAGCACCCTGTGCACTGTTGCACTTTGGTAGGTAGCAAACTAAAATACCTTGGAGGTGTTTTATCTTGCTACGTACCAAAGTCATTTAAAGCGGAATACACTGCCAAACATGCAAACAGCAATGACATTAAAGAGGTGCAAAAGGGCATTTAATCCACTTTAAAGGCCAATTTTGTGGCATGTACAAAGGACCAAAAATCTCAGTCAATACATTTGAGATCCTCGATCTCATTCTGACCCACGAAAGTTCTTAATTTTTAGAAGCCAAAAATCTTTCATAGCTTTGGAGTTTTACTGGTATACTTTCTGCTTAATTGTGAGAGATTTAGTGTCCTGTTCCTGAATCAAACTGTGTGGAAGAGGTACGGGAAGTATCTTGATTCATTAAGTTCCCCCCACCCCCACTTCTCTTCTTGTATAGAATACAAAATTCAGCTTGAAATTCCATTTGAAAAAATCACCTATTTTAATCACTAAAACATGAAAGAATTGCTTGCAAACTTCGAAGTCTTGGGTCACAGGTATTTGATTTTACCTATTTATAGCACCTTTTATCATCTTACATTGATCTTCTCACACTGTTCTGATCTTAGAAGAACCATCAGTGCCAATGTGGATGGAAGGAGTGTATGATGTGGCGTGCTACATGGATATTTCTAAATCATCTTTTTAAAAAGTTCTTGTTTGACATTAAGGTTTATAAACATTTGAATTTTAGCTGGATGGATTAAGCTACTGTGGGAAGTTTCATACATGAGCTAGTAAGGCACTGATTTCTTTCAAATGCAGTAAGTATCCAGAGTTCTCTTCCAACAATCAGGTAACTACTGGTAGAGGAAACAGTGAAAGTCACTCACTGACTTCTCTCTTTTCTCTTTGACAAATAGGTAAAAGCTGCTCTGGATGAGATTCTAGAAAAACTGACTGATGAATTTAACATCCCAGAACTGATGGCAAAGGTTGAGGAGAGGACACCATATATTGTGGTTGCCTTCCAGGAATGTGAACTCATGAACAGCCTCACGAACGAGATAAAGCGATCACTTAAAGAACTAGATCTGGGACTGAAGGTAGGAGCTTTTTCTGGTAAAGACTCTACAGCATTGTGAATCCCTCATGTGCACTAATGATTGAAAAGAAGACATGAGGGAATTAAAAATTGCCCTATTATGTCTTAAACAGTTACATTTTGAAGCGTTGCTCAACAAATAGCATCTCCTACTGCAAAAGTATCATAATTACATGGAAAAAATATTCACGAAAGTTTTTCAAGTTCCATCTGGCTTCCTACCCTCTGCTATCAGCTCTTTGTGGAGCTAAGGATACACATAATAATGTCTGGTATAGGGAAGAAACATCAAGCACTTGTGGTGAATACCTTTTAATAATACAGCAGTGGTATATGCCAGAAAACTGAAAGATAGTATATTTGAAAGCAATGAAAGAAAATACTTTTTCACCAAATGGGGAAAATATTAATAATTTATAAAAAAATCCACAAAAAATATCCACAGCATAATAACAAAGATTTAAAAAACAAGGGTTAAGGAAAGGTTATAAGCCCCTCCTTCTTGAGGGTAAAAGTAAATCTTTAGGAGGTAGGGATCAGGAGTGTACTTGTCCTATGATGATCATGTTACCTTATATTCTTATAGCTTCTTGTGAGGCACTGTCTGATCCATCATAGCAAAGCCTTTTTTCCTGTGAGCTACTGCTATGGTAGGTGTTTGTGCAAAACCTTGAGGTAGCTGCACAGATGACAGAACAAAAACAGCTAGAATGCAAGTTGTTCTTTGAATAACATTTATGAGAGTAATGTGTTTTGGGACTGCAAGAACTGGCAAGGACTGCACTCTGTATGTGGCCCATAGCATGTAAATTCCATTTTAAGCAGACAGAAGGGTGGAAGGACTCCATAGGTTATGGAAACAGCCATGGTCTTGTACAGGTAATCAGTCATACACAAAGCTGTTGAGTTAACGTTCGTCCATTTTATATCTGTTCCCATCTCCCAACAGACATTCGGAGCAGTTAGTATTGTAGTACCATGTGCTGGGAAACAAGCAAGTGAAAGAACTGATGGATCTTACCCCATCCATAAAAGCCCTGGTCAGTTCCCACTCCTGTTCAGATACAGAATTTTCCAAGAAAGAACAAGGTCAAAAACAGAACCCTACTTCAGATGAGTAGGGGGGCCCAAGTCTCACAGGAAAGCAGTTCTGCTCTTTGATCGAACAGAAGGTTATCAAGACGCTTAACTGCAACATCAAGGAGTCTGTGCCCTGCAGAGGGACTACTAGATACTCCTTACTTAGGGTGCCTACAGATGTTTAGGGATCCTACTCTAACTCATGGTGCTTTACACAAAATGCCATGGGTTAGAGCCCTGCCACCTCCGACCCAGCTGCTGCCTGCTCCTTCTCCCTCCCCCCTCTTTCTCCCCACTGATAGCCCTGCAAGCACGAGCACAATCCCGCAAAGCAGGAAAAGTTAACCCTAGAGGGAACAGAAGTTCCCTAAGGTGCTCTGCTTTAAAGTGCCTTCATTAACATCTCATTTGACCAGGGTTAATGTTTCGCATGATCAGCCATTTTAAAAGCGCTCTTCAGCCATGCACATGTGTTATGTCACGGTTGTAAAGTGCTTTCAGGGGGTTGATCACACAAAAAATGTAAGCACCCTTAGTCTGATTGCTTCTGGATCTGGCTCATGGAGTCACAGGGTTTTGCCAGTTTCCTATGCCAGCACCTGCACTGTGGCTAAGCAGCAAGCAACTGTGCTGGTGATGAGCAGATTTAAGCTGTGCCTGTGCTGCCACTGCCACTGCCTCTCCCCACCCCACTACAAAACCCAAAAGCTCTCAAAAAGAATCATAGGACACTGGCTGTCCTCACTGGCCCTGTCACTCAACAATGCTAATTAACTAATCAGAAAAGCCCTACCAACATGATTATGCTACTTCCAGTTTAGGAGGCAGCCCACAGGAAGCAGCACAGCTTGTTTGATGGTACTACTACCAGGAATGGTAAATTTACCACATAGGGCAAGGTATTTTATTGAATCCAGTCTCAGAAACTGGAAGAGGCAACAGGATTGAATTTTTGGTAGACACTCATCAATATGTCCAAACTAATGCATTTGGTGATAGGCACACACAAATGTATTTAAACACCTGCAAACATGTTCTGATGTGCAGAAAAGAGGACCCGGAGTTTTGATTCTTCATTAAGTTAGTTAAGTGATTAAAAGGATTCTGTTTTCTAATTGTCTGTTAATTTAAAACACTCGCTTGTATCTCTGATCATAACTCAGAGCCAGGCTAATATGACTCAGCTTCCAGACAGGGACCCTGTCAAGACTGCTAGGCCAAACTGCGCTCAGCGGTCTAGGCAGTATGTACAGTCATGCAAGGATACTGGCCAGAGGCTTTCCTAAGACATCTGTCTCCATGTCTTACCCAATGGATTGATTATTTCCTTCTTGTAGATTGTGTCAGGATTTTTTTTTCTTTCTTTTTATTGGAAGATACAGATATATAGATATATCGATAGATACATAGATATATAGTTATATAGATAGATATAGATATAAATATCTATATCTATCTGTCTAGATAGATAGATATATCTATAGTGCTAGACAGATAGATATAGATATATATAGATATCTATATATCTATCAATATGTCTATATCTTCATATATAAATCTTCCAATATATCTAGATAGATAGATACACATTTTATTATTGCCTAATTTCTGCTCAAAGCCTTTGTAGTTTAGTTCAGGACCATACTTCTCATGATTTCTGTATACTAGTAAGCAGCTATATATATTTCTCAATATTAAATCTAATTGCTGAATATTGACCCAGCTACAATAATATCATGCTTGCTTCTCAGAGATTGATACATTAAATCACTTCTGTTGACCTATCTCAGGAAACATAATTTCCTATTCAACTACCAGATGCTGGTAAATAAAGCAGATCTGTTTAAAATAGTTGGCAAGATAATTAATTATCAGCCCATTTTCAAATGGATTATGCATTCTGTGCAACTACTAATTGCATGTAATTTTTTTTTTTTAGTCAAGAGAAAAAATATCAGATTTTTATCTGATGTCACCTGGGTTCTTGGACTTCTCACTTTTCTGCTTCTGTGAGCAGCAACCAAGGTACTAGGTCTAGGCCTTTCAGAGCACTGTATCTCACTTGGTGTGTCTACATGAGATGCTGACTGTGCAGTAGCCTGATACTACTGTGCAGTACTATCACATGGCAAAAATCATGCCAAGATGCTACTGCACAGCAGTATTAGGTTACTGTGCAGTAGCATCACTTAAAAGGCATTTGCTGGAGCTACTATACAGTAACTCCAGTTACTGTGCATTTATTTAGTACTTGCTTATACAAGTACTAAATAAATGCATACTAACCACTGTGCAGTAGCATCTCATGCAGATGTGCCCACTGGGCATGTCTATACCATAACCCTACAGCACCATTGTTACTGCGCTAATATTTAATACTTCTTTTTGGACCTCCTAAATAACAGTGCAGTAACAGCTTGTACTGTGCCATGCTGGCCATGCACAGTTATTTTTAGCCGCTACGTTGTCATAGCACCTATACTGAGGGAGTGAGTTCTTACAGTGATGTAGTGGTGGCATCACGGTTTTTGCCCACAGATGCTATATTGCTATAGCATGTTGCTAAGGCAATGTAGTGTCATGTGTAGACGCGCCCACAGTGTCCAAATTTGCTGCTGGAATGGGAAAATAATTGAACAAGAATCTTGATCAGCCATGAGGAAATGTCTTAATCTGCCATAATGTGGTCTGCTTTCTAATGTTGCTAACCCTTGATCTATCACCCATCCTCTTTATAACTAGCCATGTATTTAAAGACTGTGATTGAATCCCCCATCACTCTTCTCTTCTTTAGACTAAATAATTCCAGTTCTTTTGCCATAAATTACATTTCCCAGACCTCTGACAACTTTTTCACTCTGCTGGCCTCTTTCTAATTTGTGCACATCTTTCTTGAAGTATTAGGCCCAGTTAACCCTCTAGGTGAGGTCTCACCAGTGTTGAACAGAGTGGAAGAATTATTGCCTTTGTTTTGCAAGCATTGCTTGTATTAATACAGGCCAGTATGTTATTGATCTTTTTTCCAACAAGGGCATACTGTCGGTTGTTACTTAGTTTATTGTCCGCTGTAACCCCAAGTCCTTTTCTCCAGAAATATAGCCTAGCCAGTCATTCCCCAGTCTGTATTTGTGCATGTAATTGTTCTGTCATAAGTGCAGGACATTGCACTTGTCTTGCTGAATTTCATTCAATTGATTCTGGATATATCTGTAGCTTATCTGGATCCTAAACCTCATATTCAAAACATCTCTACATGCTTGATGTTATCTATAAATCCCAAAGTGCACTCAATCCTTATCCTTGAAATCACAAATTAAGACATTAAGAAACACCAGATCTAGAACAGACCCCTGTGGAGAATCCCACATGATACCTCCTCCTAGAGAGGCATTCAGCTACTGATATCTTCTTACTGTGCATGATGATCCCCACAAGTAATATATCTATCTTGCAGTATTATCATCTAGCCTCCATTTCCTTAGCTTACTAATGACAATATATTGGGAAACAGTATCAAAAGCATTATGACAATATATTGGGAAACAGTATCAAAAGCATTGAAAAACCAAGATATATCAAATTCACTGCCCTTCCCACCAGGGGTGGATTTGGGGCTGGGGAGGCAGGGCATGAGCAATGGTGTGGTTGCACCCTCCTTTGATTCCTGCTCCATCCAAAATTTACACCCAACTGCCTGGGAGGGGCACTGACATTTCTATTCAGGCAGTGTTGAGGGAGTCGATTGAATTTATGCCAC